GTCCCCCCCCCCCCGGCATTCTTTTATAGTAAGAAGGATTTTATTTTCAACACGGTATAATAATAGAACTAATAAGGAGATACTAAGTCCTCTTTGCTTCTATCAGTGCAGTGTGCATTTAGCGAAATAAAACATTAAGGTTGAAAACATTCTTAGTGTTATTGTTGCTTAGAAAATTCTGATTATTCATTGGGACCTTATGGAATTCCAAATAAGTACTACTTAGCAAAGGTAATTTTTAAAAAATTAATAATATGATTGTATTATTAAAACGGTGTATCAAATTTGTGTGTCTCATTGAAACCTCTTTGAAAAACACTGCTTTGGTTGTGTAAGATTTCTAAGTTTAGTAGTTTCCTAAATGTTTTGTTAGCATTAGTTAATTTCTTTTAAGATGTTTATTTGTCTTTGTTGCTGTATATATATTTCATTAGCTCTGTTGAATACTTGAGCCTGACAACCAGTTGTAAGAGTAACCACTTCATTGTTTTTACATTGTAGTTGATTCCTTGATACTGTTCTTGTTCACACTGACCAGTCTGTAGAGATGAGTGCTTGCTCCAGGCTAAAATTCTTGTTGGCACCTTTTTCTGACTCTAGTACATCTTGTTCAACCAGAATGAAGACGAATAAAGATTATGATTTATGTTTCTCAACAGTTAATTTTAAGCATTTTTGTTTAAATGTCATAAAGTTGGTAATTTTTTTTTAATAGCTGGCATTATTTGCACATATACTTTGTGGTTATAGGTTTAGCGTGGAAATACATTACTAAGTCAAGTCTGTGCTGTGCCAGGTTTTGTGCAGTTGTCACCACTACAGTATAGCTCTTGAATTCCACACTCACATTGTAATGGCTTTTAAATTGTACTGTTACTTATTATGGTGCCCACTCTTATCCTAGCTACCTTTAGTTTTTTTTTTTTAGAATTTTTGACATTGATCTTAAATTTTAGAAATAAAAGCTTTAAAGTGTAAGAGAAAGTAGGCTAGTTTTGTGATTACCTTGGGGAAATAAGTACCTTTGAATGGTGGTAATATAATTCTTTATTTCACTTTATTCTGTTTTGGTTCATAATAGTGTTTGTAAAATTTAGTTGCTTTGTTTGCCCAAATTCTTTTATCACCGTTTATTAACTGTTTGTTGTTTTAGGACCTGATCCTACCTTTGAAGAAAGTCCTAAAAGAAAAAGTATTACGTATGAGGAATTAAGGAATAAGAACAGAGAGTCATATGAAGTAACTTTAACACAAAAGGCTGACCCCTCAGTCAGACCTATGCAGGAAAGAGT